ATTTTGGCCAGGGTCAACCCACCACAACCATGGAGATTTTTAAATTTTTACACTTCATGATAAGGCTCTAATAACAGTATCATAGAATAACTTAAGCCAGAAGGCACCTCTATGAGGTCCCATGGTCAAACACCTTATTCAAAACAGAGACAGCTTCAAGGCTATGATCATAAGCAATATTATCCATCTAATCAACCTTTAACAAATACCTAGAGGGACTACAGCCTGACTAGCGAAGCACACTCAAATATGTATTAATATCCTTCTGTTAAGTATAAACTATGACAGGTTTTGGGTTTTTTAATGGCGTACAACTGCCTTTGGCTATTACGTGCCATACAGCAGACAGGAACACCACCGATGAGAAAGCTACCATGGAACAGCAGAATTTTGAGAAACAAGTGAAAGTTGTTCAAAATACCAGTCACATGTATAATTTCACCTACATAACAAAGGTGGCATGTATTTGGTGCTAAAGGTTATAATTTTTAATGATGCACCAGAGAAAAATACTGACTTCACATATAAAATGGTGAGTTCTGACTTGTTACTATTAACAGATAATTCTATGAAACCATTAAACATTGGCTGAATGCTGCTGGTTAGGAAAAAAAAAAAAAAAAAAAGAGAGAGAAAAAGAGTTAAGAATTACTACAGAAGAAATAAAAACTAAGAAGTCACATTATGCCACTGCATAAATCCATTGTTTATCCACATCTTAAATCCTATGCAAGTCACTCTCAATAAAACAGTAGCAGATTCAGAACAAAAGAAACTCCAAAGAGAATCAAAGATCGGCTTGATTTGAGACAGAGCTCTTCAGCATGGGGAAAAAAAAAAAAAGACAATTGAGGAGGGATATGATAAAAGCCTAAGGAATTTTGACAGGTATTGATGCAGATCAGCTGGTCAATGTCTCATTTAGGGGCATCAAATGAAGCTAATGAAGGTTCAAATGGAACAAAAGCAGACAATTCTTCACGTAAGTACCAGAAATGCAGAACTCCTTGTCAAGAAAACCAGCGAAGGTTACAAGTTTGTCCAAGCTCAAGGAGAGACTAAGCAGGTTTCTGCAAGATAAATTCTTTGAATTATACAGAAATTACACTCTGACGAGCTAACTGCTCATCTGAAAATGAGTTTGGAGTTTTAGAGAATATCAGGAAACTTATCATACACACTTGCCCTGTTATAGTTTTCCATACACATCTACTTACGGCTACAGTTGGAAACAGCATCTGGAATTAGACCGGCCTTTGGTTTGACCCAGTAGAGCCAGTCTTACATTCTCATACGATCATTTAAAATTCAAGGGTTTTAGTCAACAGGAAACAAAAGGTTATGGTGCAAAAGACATATACACAGCTCTAGAGATGCCAATCTGCAGGCATTGCACATTTTGCAGCTGCTGTAGAGGCTTAAAGGATATGGAGCTTTTTCGGTTCTGCATTCTTCAGCTCAAACAAAGTAATCCAAAACTCATTTAGCTCCAGCTCCCTAGAGGAAATGAAGAAAGGAAGACATCCTCTTCATACATATCCCCTCCTAGGTTCCAGAAGAGCAGGAAAACAGTAAAGTAGCCAAGGTAGTAAAGATCCCTCACAGTCCCTTTTACATGTCCTTCAGAGGCTACATAAAAGGGTGACTACATGATGACAGCATTGTTTTAAAAAGTGGTGTTAGTCTCCAAATTTCTGGCCAGCAGGCCACTTACCCATTTGAACTCAAATGTTTCAGAGAAATCAGTCTTTGTTTTCTGTTTCGAAGACAGTAAGACGGACTTGATGATCTTAGAGGTCTCTTCCAACCTAATCATTCTAAGATTCATGCCTTGGCAAACAAGTTTGTTTATGCTCATAGCTCAGGCCCTCTCCTCTTTTCTTCCTCATACCAACCTGACAGCAACAACTTTTAAGATAGGTTCATTTTATTCTAAATTCCTCAACAAATTAACTACTTTTTTCTTTTACCACACAAGAGAAATCACAAGGCTTCTGAAAGGCAAAAAATCAGTACAATAACGTCAGAAGACATCCCTTCTAAACAGAATACTTCCCCTGTGATACATACTGTCTTTGATAAACACACAATCTTGTACAGATCTAATCAGGCAACATCCAATATTTGAATGTATTAACTGTAAAACAACTTAATGCATTTTTTACTGAGGAATATATTCAGTCATCCTACTTTGCATGTACAGCATTCTTACTTAGAATTACTTAAAAGTGACTTAAAAGGTATCAGTAATTACCTTGTCTAAAAAGATTTCTAATGCACTTACCGACAATGCAAGACTGAGGATGGATGTTGCATAGTTAAAGCTGTGGACGACTTTGTAGGAGGTAGTACTGTAAATCTTCACATGCCTATACAGAAGAGTAATGATTAAAATCTCATTACTAAAGCCTTTCTGTAGACACTTCACAGGAATTTCATCACTCTCAACTTCTATAGATCATTTAAGGAAACTTGAACATTTACACAAAGCATTCTTCAAACTACCACTAATCTTCTTGATTATGACATGGCCTGCAACAGAAAGGTTCTTTTAAAAGAAGATACACAAAACTTAAGAAAGGATTACTCTTACCCAAAAAAAGATGAAAATGGGGCAAGGACAAAAGAAGAAATTGCAGACAGATGTAGCAACTACCCGACTTCAGCACTGCTTATTAGGAAACACTAAGACACCATTTCTTCAAATTTGTTCTTAAAGTTTAAATGTAAGATCTATTGACAATTTATGGAAGTAAATCCATAGATATTCTTGTATCTGTCTGCTCTTTAATCATTTGGTTGAAGGTAGGAAATACTTAACAACTGGGAAAACAAAATATTATCTTACAAGTATAAACTTTACTGTTGTGAGCACCGAATGACAAATAGCTGCACAGCTAGTGTGATCCTTCAGCTTATGCTTTGTAATCACAAAGCCTGAGGAAGCCTAGGAAGTACAGGAGGGAGTGAGGAAAGAAACAGACCGCTGTCGTTTCCGATCACTTCATATTTGTAATGTCTCAGAGACAACAGATTGAGTACCGGTACTGAGCAACTCAACGCAAACAAACAAACAAACAAAAAAGGAAAAAAAACAAGGAGGACACATGTCACCTGTGCATCTTCAGTACAAAAAGCAGTAGCACACAGACACAAAACCCAGGCTCTTTAAGGTGAATACTGATACACTTTAAGATATTTAAACTGTATTAAAGTTAAGAACAGTTACTTTACAGAGACAGCAAAGATCAGTTTAGAGATTCCGAAAAATGAATGCTTATTCAGAAGTTCATATGCATTCCCAAACGGCACATGCAACCTTTACTGACATTCAAGCTAATAAAAGGAAAAGACTAACTTATACCACAGTAGGTACCTTGGCCCAAAGACATGTTTTCAAGTAAGTTATACCTCTTAACAGTTAAAAGTGTTTAAGCCCAAAAACATGCACAGATTCACAATGATGTATAATAACTTTCAAAGGAAAAAAGTCCTGAAGAATTTAAATCACAACAAAGCCATGAAATATACTAACCTGTCCAGGGATCCTGACAATAACCTTTGACCAGAGCTGTTCAGGCATAAACAAGTTACAGTTTTATGGTGATTTTTAAGTGAAACTAGTAATTGTCCGCCTTTTAGTACATCCCAAACTTTGACATATCGACCTCCTGTAAGAAGGAAGCACACAAAAAAATTTGATGTATGTACTCATTTACAGGTCACTGGAGAAGTTTTCACAGAGTGATACAGTGCCTCCTTCATAACATGGAGTTGTCTGTACCTACTCACCATCCCCATCCATTATGACTATCTCCAGGAACAAGACACATTACAAGCCTGATCTTTCTTAGGCCATTCTGCAGGCATAGCTGAACGATCCAACATACCCCTTGCCAAAAAAAAAATTTAAAAAAAAATCTATATACCACTGGGTTACAAGACCTCTGATGCAATGGCAAGAAAAGTCTAAAAACCTTGTCACCATTAAGAGAAAGATACAGTCCCATCTTTGTACGTTCATTCCTTCACTTTAGTACTGGGCTAATTATCTTGTCATTAAAAATGTCCTTTTTTTTTTTTGACCAACTAAAAGAAAGTCAAATCAGAGACAAAAAGACCTCTACCTTCACCCTCCAGAACACGAGATTCCCAAAGAAGATCTTTGAGAAATCCAGCTGTTACACCACTGACCACTTCATTATCAACGGCAAACAACACACAAGAAAGAAGCAGACAAAGTATTTCTCAAATTAGGGCCACAGAAAAGAAATCTGATTTTATTGAAATACCTGCAGATACTAGAAGCCCACCAGAAGGGAACAGAAGGACGCTCTCCACAGGCTGGCCATGTTCTATTGTCATGACACTACTTTTTGTTCGTGCATCAAATAATTTCACAGTGTGATCATAGGAACCTGTAAACAACACCATAAATAGCTTCAGTTTCATAATTTCAATTATTTCAGGAAATAAAACAGCCACGTCCTACGATCTAAAAGGAGCTCCTGTCAAACGGAAACAGTCGTAAACCATACACTTAGAACACCTTGTGGTTTACCTTGGTTAATTTACAGCCTTAAGGCAACTAAGTCTTCTAATTCTAGCCCTTCTCATTCTAGCAACGTATCAGGCCTCAAAAGTAATTTAATTCTTAATTTTATTTCCCTTCCATTAATCAAATTTATTTATTACAAAAAGTATCAGGCAACCTGATGAAACCTAGTCTCCTGTGCCTCCTGAAGTAAGGAATACTATTATTTTTATAGCAATTTACCACAGATTACCATAGAAATCTACCGCTAGGAAAACCGAAAGCAACTGCTTTCTAATAACTCTTTTCACACAACCTTTCATTTTTGAGTCTGACAGTTTGGGGCTGTACAAACTACAATGGAATTAGTGTCCTCCTCCAGAAACCTGATAAAACACTTCAGTCAATCCCAATTTTCCTAAAACAAAGGCCAGACAGAACAGTCCTGTTAACCCAAATAGGCTAAAGCAAAAATGTTAAAAGTTAGT